GACACTGGGGGGTTATGGGGGGCTTGGGGACATGGGGACCTTGGGGAGGCTCACAGGTGTCTGGGGTGGGGGGTCATAGGAACCTTGGGGTCATGGGGGCTTTTTGGGACATGGGGGAGGTCACAGGGGTCTCAATGGGACAACGAGGGGATGTCACTGTGGAGACTGAGCTGGGAGAAGTGACATGAGGGGGTCATGGGGGGCTTAGGGAGAGTCACAGGGCTCTGGGGACATCATGGGGACCTTGGGGTCATGGGAGGTGCAGGGACATGGGAGGCTTGAGGAGCATCACAGGGCTCGGGGGGTTAAGGAGAGCGAGTGAAGGGGCGGCAGGGGGGGCATCAACACGGAGACCAAGTTAGGAGAGGTGACTTGGGGGGCTCATGGGGGTCTGAGGGTCATGCAGGTCTTGGGGGGTGGATGGGTGGAGTTCTGGGGGAGGAATGTCACTGAGGAGACCAAGCTGGGAGAGGTGACATGGAGAGTCACGGGGGGCTTGGGGAGGTTCATGGGGGGTTTGGGGGGGCAAGGCAGATGCATGCTGGAGCTGGTTGAGGGGGTGTCACTATGGGGACTGAGCCAGAAGAGGTGACCTGGGGGCTCTAGGCGGGTTGCGGGGGCGTTGGGGTCATGGGTAGCTTGTGGGGAGGGTCATGTGGTGGAGCTGGGGGTGGGACGTAGAGATCAAGATGGGAGAGATGACACAGGGGAGCCACGGGGAGCTTGTGGTCTTGGGGGCCTTGCGAGGGTCACAGAAAGCTCATTGAGGGTCACAAGGGGCTTGGGGGAATCCTGGGAGGTGCGTGATGGACTTGGAGGGGAGGAAGTCACTGTGGAGACCAAGATGGAATTGGTGACACGGGGGGATTATTGGGGGACTCACAATCATGGGAGGCCAAACCCCTCCCATATGGAGCACCCCCTGACCCCTGATGACCCCCTGACCCCCGTGTGTCCCCCAGACGGTGACGGTCAAGGAGGGGGACGTGCACCAGCAGAACCCCCCCAAGTTCGACAAGATCGAGGACATGGCCATGCTGACGTTCCTGCACGAGCCCGCCGTGCTCTTCAACCTCAAGGAGCGCTACGCGGCCTGGATGATCTATGTGAGACCCCGGGGGTGGCAGGGGGACCCCAAAAATGGGGGGGAGGGTGGCAGTGGGGACCCTGCCCCAAAACTCAGGAGGGGCTGGAACCATGGGGCTACTTCTGGGAACACCTGGAATCTGGGGGGGCTTCCAGGAGGGTCTGTGAGGAACCTGGAGCAGTCAGTGTGGTACCTGGAACTTGGGGGGCTATTCCAGATCACTTTGGGCCGCCTAGATTCCAAAATGTCACATCCTTGGATGCCTTGAATCTCCCAGACCCAAAATGTCCCATTTCCAGCCCCAAAGAGTTCCCATCCTTGGCCCCTCCAGCCACTCTGGACCCCCCAAAACCCCACCCCACCCCTTCCCACACCCCTTGTCTCCCCACACCTGATTGTCCCCTCCTGGGGGGGTGTCCCCACCCAGGGGGTGTCACCCCCTGAGCCTCTGTTTGTCCCCCCAGACCTACTCGGGGCTGTTCTGTGTCACCGTGAACCCCTACAAGTGGCTCCCGGTCTATGACCCCCAAGTGGTGGCCGCCTATCGGGGCAAAAAGCGCAACGAGGTCCCCCCCCACATCTTCTCCATCTCCGACAACGCCTACCAGTACATGCTGACAGGTGGGACCCCAAAAACGGGCTGGGGACACCTGGGGCTCACCTGGGCACTAGGGGACATCCAAGGCCCCCTGTGGTTCCTCTCAGTTTTGACCCATCTCACCTGGGAGGGTGGAGAACCCCAACATCTCCTTCACCTCTGTCCCACCTGGCAGGGTGGAGAACCCCAACATCTCCTTCACCTCGGTCCCACCTGGGAGGGTGGAGAACCCCAACATCTCCTTCACCTCGGTCCCACCTGGGATGGTAGAGAACCCCAGCCACACCTCAAGACCACCCAGTTTCTCCCCAGCCTTTCCTGGTCCTCACCTGGGAGGCTGGAGACCCCCAAGACCCCCAACTATCTCCCAGCACCTTGGTCCTTACCTAGGGGGGGTTTGGAGAACTCCAAACCCCAGACCGTCAATGTCTCCCCAGCCTCATCCCACCTGACCTGTTCCTCACCTGGGGGGTGGGGCTGGAGAACCCCAAACACCAGACCTTCAACATCTCCTGAACTTTGTTCCACCTGACCTACTCTTCACCTGAGGGGTTTGGAGAACCCCAACCCACAGACCCTCACCATCTCCTGAACTTTGTTCCACCTGACCCACTCCTCACCTGGGGGGCTTGGAGAACCCCAACTCACAGACCCTCAATATCTCCTGAACTTTGTTACACCTGACCCACTCCTCACCTGGGGGGTTTGGAGAACCCCAACCCACAGACCCTCACCATCTCCTGAACTTTGTTCCACCTGACCTGCTCCTCACCTGGGGGGCTTGGAGAACTCCAAACCCCAGACCCTCAATGTCTCCCCAGCCTCATCCCACCTGACCTGTTCCTCACCTGGGGAGGGCTGAAGACCCCCCAGACCCCTCCTCACCCCCTGACCCCTCTCTCCTCCCACAGACCGCGAGAACCAATCCATCCTCATCACGTGAGTCCCCAACCCTGAGGCCGCCCCACAGGTGTGGGGTGGGACCAGCTCCCCCAGGCGACCCCCGTGACCCCTCAGTGACCCCCTGGTGACCCCCTTGCCCCCCCAGCGGCGAATCGGGGGCGG